TAGGATTTTTTTTTTTTTTTTTTTTTTGGAATCAAACCTATACAGCACGATCAGTGTAGTCCGATTCTCAAGCAAATGACTCTTTTGAGCCTGTTCTTTATAAATTTAAAAAGTACAGAGTGACTGTTCTTATGCAACTGATTCCTGTACTCGAGTTGATTCTTTTTAGTGAATAATAAAAATTAACAGCACGACCAGAGTATTGCAATGCTCAAGCAAATGACTCTTTTTGAGTCATTTCAGTACCTTGAATCGAAAACATACAGCATGACCGGACTGATTGCGCAGATTTCTGAATCAATGACTCTTTTGAGTAGGTTCTTTTTGGTGAATCAGAAACCAGTGCGATCAAACAGATTCCTTTACTGACACTTTTGAGTTGGTCCGAGTGAATCAAAACCATACAGCACAACCAGAGTAGTCTGATTCTGAAGCAAATGACTCCTTTGAGACACATTTTTAGTGATAAAAAAAAAATGCTGTACATCCAGAGTAGTCCGATTCTTGAGCAAATGATTCTTTTAAACCATTTCGTTACCTTAAATCGAAAAACACAGCACAACCGGACTGATCCAACCGATTCCTGAACGAATTACTCTTTTGAGCTAGTTCTTTTTAGTGAATCACATGCATCGCTTACAACTTAGTCTTTTGTTTTGTTTTGTTTTACTGTGAAACTTGCATCACCGTTAACACAATTATAGTTAAGGCTGACTATCTAAAATGATACCAAATATTCCTCCAAACTTCAAGAATTATTAATGGAACTGTGGAATCACTACCAGCATCATTTAATTACTTACAATAGCAATGCCTAAAAACAACTTGTGTAATGAAATTGTATTTCATGTGATGCACACCCAGTTTATTTTGTGCAAGCAGTTTGTTTTTGGTGGATGCTGGTTTGTGAAGCAGGGGGTCGTTGTCAGCAGCGGTTGTGAGCAGGATCAGGCGTCTATATGATGTTCATTAATAATATATTAGCACTTGAAAGCGTGAGGTGCCGCAGGAGATGCGTCTCTCTCCAGATCTTCTCATGCTCGGCTACTTGTTTTGGTCGTGTCTCCGTCCCTCTCTTTAACTAAACTCTGGGAAGCGTGAGGAGCAGATGTCTGGGAGTGAAGCCAGTTGAAGACGTTTAGCCACCCGGTGAGAGGAGCGCAGGCCTTCTGTCCACTCGTTCCTCCTGTAAGCTGTCAAACTGAGCGAGAGGGAGAGGAGTCTCTGACGGGGCTATGCACTTCAGATCGAGTCGAGGATATTTACCTTGTGAAAATGCATTGGTTTGCTCAGTTTTAACCATTTGCACAAGCGCTCAACTGAAGAGATTTGGCTTATCAATCCGATGTTGTTGTGTCCCTGCAGCCTGTGCTGCCAGACTAGATTTTCTAATAGGCCAAGAACTTTTCACCATTTGTTTTTGTTTTACGCCCTTTTAAATAATTTTTTCAATTTGTTTTTATATGCATGTTGCCCAAATTGGTTTCTGTGTAACCTCCAGATGGACTTATATTTTATTATTATTATTTTTGAATCTTTATTGCATATTACTCATTCATTATTATTATAATTATAATAATTAACTAATAATAATTACTAATAAAATTGACAAATCGTAAATGCAAAGTAAATAAATAAAATGTTCTTGTTAATTATAGTAATGTATAAATAATAGTACATTATTAATAAAAGTGGTGGTACAGTAAATACAAAGTAAATTAATAAAAAATGTTTTATTATTTTAACATAACTTACTAATAAAAATGGACACAGTAAATATGAAGTAAATAAATTATTCTTAATAATAATAATAATTTATAAATAATAAAGTGCTAATAAAAATGATGACAATAAACAATGCAATGTAAATTAATAAAATGTATAAATAATAAATTACTAATAAAAATGGTGATAACTAAATACAAAGTAAATAGTTATTATTGTAACTTAACTTATTATTAATAATTCATTATTTACAAATGATAATAAATATCAAATCAAAATTATAACAGTAAATAATACAAAGTAAATTAATCATAATAATAACAATAACAGTTGTATATTTTTTTTTTTTATGGTTTGTACATTTTTAGTCATTATCAACGATTTAATAATAATAATAATAACAACAGTTGTATTTTATATTCATTTGTTCTTACTCTGTAATTTTTATAGTAATGTATTATTATTTATATTATTATTTATAAATAATAATACAAATTATAACAGTAAATGTTATAATTTGTAAATGTAATAGTTATTTATTTTATAACTATTACTGGTGATGAGTCTTTTATTGTGAATACTCAGCCACAACATTTCTTTGTTCATCCTTATTTCTACCTCTCTCCATGTTTCCCGTCTCGTCTCTTCCAGGACTGAGGGGCTTGATAAATCTTGGGAACACGTGCTTTATGAACTGCATCGTTCAGGCTCTCACACACACTCCGCTGCTGAGGGACTTCTTCCTGTCCGACAGACACAAGTGTGAGATGCAGTCCAACTCCTGCCTGGTTTGTGAATGAATAATTGATTTGTTAAATCAAATGAAAAATTGTGTTTTTGATTGGTCCAGACGCTACAACACATACACTCACTCTCTCTCTCACACACACATACACTCACTCACTCACTCACTCACTCACTCACACACTCACACACACACTCTCTCACACTCACTCATTCACTCACACACTCATACACACACACACACACTCGCGCTCTCTCTCTCTCACACTCACACACACACTCTCTCACACTCACTCATTCACTCACACACTCATACACACACACACACACTCGCGCTCTCTCTCTCTCACACTCACACACACACTCTCTCACACTCACTCATTCACTCACACACTCATACACACACACACACACTCGCGCTCTCTCTCTCTCACACTCACACACACACTCTCTCACACTCACTCATTCACTCACACACTCATACACACACACACACACTCGCGCTCTCTCTCTCTCACACTCACACACACACTCTCTCACACTCACTCATTCACTCACACACTCATACACACACACACACACTCGCGCTCTCTCTCTCTCACACTCACACACACACACACACACTCTCTCACACTCATTCACTCACTCACTCACACACACC